CTCTCACCTGCCTCCGCGGCCCAGAAGCTCGGGGCTGGCGCCAGCGCCTGGCGGGCCGGCAGACGCCTGTAAGCAAGGCCCGCCAGGGCCCCGCCCCAACCCGGCGAGATCCCGCCCCTCGCACCTGCTCCGCCCACCAGCGTCGGCTGGCTCACCTCCTGCGGCTTGGGCCAGTCCCATTCGGATGTGACGTATATGGGAGCGACGAGCGCGTGCGCGGGCGGGCCAGGAAATTTTCCGGGTTCGGGTTGGTTTCCATCTGGCAGGTTCTCGTGTGGCTGCCGAGCCGCCGGTCCGAGTCTTCTGTGGTCGCCGCCAGGGGGGCCCGCTCCGGGTAGGGACCTCAGTCATTCCCAGACACGTTGCGACCTCTGGGGGCAGCGGGACACAGGCTTAGCCGTTAGCCGAGCTAGGACGCCAGGGGACTGCTGCTAGTGGTGGGAGCCCAGGGTCAGTGTTTCGGCCTCGTTCCTGCTCAGAGCGCCCAGCCTTGTGGCTCGAGGGCCTAGCCCGACCGAGTCGGACTCCAGAGCCCTTGCTTGGCCTGGTTCCAGCTTACTTCGTTCAAGCATTGACCGAGCGCCTATTTGCACACTGTAATATTAGTGGACTTATCCACCTTTCAAAACTGTTTGGGGCCACCAGCAAGGTCCGGAGGCTTCACGAAAAAGGAATGCAAACAGATGGCGTAAGGAAGGGCAGAAAGGTGGTGAGGGTGTAGAACATGGACATGGGAAGTCAGTAAGCAAGTGTAGAATTGAGGGGCATTTGCATGTTCCCAAAGGCTGCTGGGCAACTGCAGTTGGTCAGGCAGCGGGTCAGTCGCTTCTCACTGCTCTGGAAGAGCCTCTTGTCAAGGGCTGTGATGGAGGCCAGTGGTGCCCAAAGTTACAGGTACTTGCCCCCAGGAGGGGCACAAGACATCATTGAGAATGTTCCAAAAGACCCACAGCATCTTTACTTTTATTTAATTATTCAAATAAAAATTGTAATAATTTAAAGCCTATTAATTTAAACTTATTTAAATACATTTTACTTATTGCAATATTGTATTTGTGTTATAAAGTTTATATTATTAGGCACATATGGTATGTAAGCAGCCGTATATGGTGGGGGTGCACATTCAGGAGGGTTTATGTCAGTTATCAAAAACATTCAGAGGCCATAGCTGTAGGCTGTTCTTGATCCTCAGTGAGGTGTAAGCCATTTGTGTGTGTGGACTTGGTGTCCTGGAAAGTTTATACTGTTCCTCTCTAATGGGGTTGAGGGGTCCTGATGGAAGCAGGCTGGCACAGGTATGAGGGTGGAGCTTAGCACCTGCTGTGTTGAAGACGGAAGTTTGGAAAAGAGCAGTGGGGGTGGTGCTGTCCGAGGATGGGGGAAAACTGGCCAGAGGGAGAAGGAAGATGGGTCAGCCCCAAGAGCGGAGGATGGAAAACCTAAAAGATGTCTTCTCCCTTGAGGAAACCTGCATTTTTATATTCCAGCTGAACAGGAATTGGTGTGAGAGGTCAAGGAGAGCAAATGTAATTAGAAGACTGCTCCCCATTATCTCATTCCCTTCAGCCCTCTGAGAAGCCAGAGTGGGCTGGTGGGGTGTCTGACATGAGGGAATTTAGAGGCCTCTGCAGGGAAAAGGCATGGCTAAAACAAAGGCAAGAGAATGTTTGTAGTTAGTTTAGGGGATTAATAATTTACCCCCAAAAGCCGGAAGGGCTGTCTAGGAACCAGTCAAGGATATCCAGTTCCAAAAGAGATGTCATCTGGACTGAGAGAACAGACGAAACAAATGATAGTGACAGCCCAAACTACAGAAATGCACTTCAGATGGGAGACCTGCCACCATATTATTAACAGGGTCACAGTGATGATGCTGACAGGTGTGCCTACCTCCTGCTCTCCAGGCAGGGGCCTCCAGGAACACTCTGTGATAAATAAGCATGCACGGAAGGCATCTCTGAGCACAAGGATGGGATGCCTTTGGTGTTTACTGGGAAATGTCACGATGACGTATTTTTTCATACCCAGCAGCAGGTCACAGCACCTTAGTTTTCTTTGGAGGAACCATCCACCATCTCTCATCCACTCTCGGGACACACGGTTTGCGTGTTTATGACTCCAATGCTGACCTCTGGGGCAGGCACAGGCCTGGATGTGGCCAATCAGAGCCACACAGAATGAGATAAGGATAAATGCATAATCTAATGTGGACCAAGGTGAGTTAGTCCCTGGGACTTGGGCTGGAACTACTGGGAAGTTGGGGGCTCTTTTTTGCTGGAGTTGCTGAACTGGGACGTCTACTATTGCTCCCCTACCTGGGGAAGACGATGTGCTTGAAAAGGAAGCAAATAGAAAATACAAAATTTTTCTTAATTTTTTAAAAAAGCAAAAATAAATTTAAAAATTAATTTAAAAAAGAAGAAAAGGAAGGAAATATGGAGAAACCCTGGCAGGGGAGGACTGCAGGACCCAGAAAGATGTGCCTCTGCTTTGGAAGGTCGGGTGGGCTGTGCTGCACAGCAGTGTCAAGTCCTAGCCTGTGTTGGGCCAAGAGGGGGCCGCAGCTGGCCTGCTGTTTCCATCTGTGTGGCTCTGACAACCGCCAGCATGTGATGTATTGCTAGGCCCAGGGCGCAGGTGATGAATGTCCGGGGCAGGTCAGTGGTCACAGCAGCTGTTTAAAGAGGCACCTCACGCACCTTGCAGCCTGCAGCCAAGGGCTGAGGCCAGTTTCATTTGGGGCAAGCTACTAACCTTGTGGGGCCTTACTTATCAGGCTTCTAATCTCCCAGCTCCAGGGAAACTTTCCTCTGCGCACCAGGGGCCATTTCTCTTCTCTAAACGAGGGTGATGGCAGTTTGCTGGGGTTGCTGTGAGGACTGTGCAGGTAACACGTGCAGATGAAACATGTGTCCATCTCTATGGCAGCCCTGATGGGTACATTGAGATTCATTAGACTATTCTCTCTACTTTGGGGGACATTGAAAATTTTCCATAATGAAAGGTAGAAAAAAATGAATACATGTATGACATTATAATGTACTCGTCATTGCTTTGTCAGACCCACAGACTGTACACCACCAAACGAGAACCCTAATATCTACCCTGGGCTTTGGGTGAGGATGTGTCAGTGAGGGTTGGGTCTGTGGGAGCTGTGTACTCTCTGCTTAACTTTGATGTGAGCCTAAAACTGCTCTAAAAAAGTAAGTTTATTATTAAAAAATGAACATACATGAAGCTTCTGCCACAGAGCCAGGCTGGGTTTCAGCTGCTGTGATCACCAGTCCCTGGTGAGTGATGTAGGCCCTCCGCACATCTCCCCTTCCTGTCCCTTGTCCTCCTGGGCATCCCTGGGCCTCTCACTCCTGTTTCTGACCCCAGACCACTTCTGTGCTCCCATGTACTTTTCCAGCAAAACTCCATATAGTTTCTTGCTGGTTCACACCCAATGAGGGGAAATATTACTATAATCTGCGAGAAATGTGAAAGAGCCCACGTGACTTGGCCTTTTGTAGACCGGATTTCAAAGGCATCTGAAGTGGAGTGCTATGAGGAGATCTGCTAGCTCTGGAGGGAGGCTGGGAATCAGAAGAAGGCACCTGGATTGGTTTTAAACCCCATCCCTGTCCCTGCAGGCCGGTGCTGTGTCTGAGGGAGTCAGCAACTTTCCTGCAAAGGGCAGAACCGTCTTTCCCTTGGTGACTCGGATACCAGCTGGGGAGCCTCTCAACTCACCACCTGAATCACATCTCGGCCACAGTGGGGCCTGTCAGTGGCAGGAACCCTGGAGACAAAGGCTGCCTGCTATAGGGGTAGGGGGAGGCCAGCTGAGCCTCTGGGACGTTTCCCTCCCCCAAGGACCCCCCCCCCGACTCCCCACTTAATGCACTTCATTCTTTTGGGGCCACTGATTTATTAAAAGGTCACCTAGAAGGTGGGCCCTCTGACAAACCGCAGGAGCTGCCACCTGCTGTGCCAGGGACCGTGATCAGGCTTGCCAACTCACCACCCTGCTGGCTTGGCTCCAAGGCAGCCACCCCTTCCCACAGAGAGTGAGGCTGGAGGCAGCCAGGTTCCCCAAGCAGCCACCAGGTGTGGCTCACCAGAACGAATCACATTAGGTCACAGAGCAGTGACCCACTCTGGGCTGAAGAGGTTCTGGAAGATGCCCCAAGTGGCTGGGCAGCTGCCACCAGACTTGGGGCTGCAGGTGCCTGGGAACTGGGTTGGGGATGAGCAGGGGAGCAACTGCAGGAAAAGGAGACAGGTACCTGGGGTCTCCTGACAAAGTGCCACAGGGCTGGCCATGCAGCCCACACCACTGCTCACGGTCTGGTCACAGGTTGCTGCCTCAGAACCCCGATGTGCTGGGGCAAGAGAACGTTCCTGGCTGGCCCCGGGGACCAGGCTGGGAGCATGCAGCCTCCCTAGTCCCGTCTGTGAGCTTGGCCGCCTAGCTGGCCGTGGTCCTCCTTGGGATGCAGCCCTCCATCTCCAGCGCCTCGGGCCAGCCTTCATACTTATTGTTGTGCTTGCTGTTCCTCACGTGCTGTGGGTTGGCGGGAGCAGGAAGTCACCGTCTTAGCCCTTGGGCGCGGCAGACAGACAGAGCTTCCAGTCCCCTTGTGCTGCTGGCAATCAGGCGTGCTCTCAGGGCGCTCTGTCTGTCCCAGCGTCTCAACTTTCTCATCTCAAAATGCCAATAGCTTCACTAGTGGCGGGGGGGGGGGGGCGTCAACTTCTTTGAACTTATGGGCCTGGCACGCACCGAGATGGTAGGGAGGGAGCGTGTGTGTCCCTGCCCTCGCCCAGCCCGCAGGGAGAGCAAGGCCAGAGGGGTGTCTCTTCTCTGGGGACTGAGCTGCTCTTTTTGCAGTCAGAGCCTTCCAGAAACCACTGGATTGGCCTGTTTGCCTTGGCCTGCTGTGGGGAGCAGGACTTGGAGGCACCATCCCTTTCACTGGGCTGGGAACCTCCCAAAGGTGAGGATGGTGCATGGGGAACAGCTGGCCAGAGGGCAGCCAGGGAGGTGGCTGTGCAGTGTGAACTGGGGTCCTGGGTGTCGGGAGATGGCATGGGCCTGAGCATCTTGAAGATGTACAGGAGGAGGGTTCCTTAGCTGTGAGTCTTGCCAGTGCAAAAGCTTTGCCATTCAAAGATTCTTTATGGTGAAATCCACACAGGACAGGAAAGATGAAAGTTACTGTCCTTCCTGTACAGACAGCGAGGGGGCCAGGGCTGTCCCTGGGGGTGCTGGTGGAATTCAGGGAAGGCTGAGGCAGGAACAGAAAGGGGGCTCAGAGAATGCAGACAGAAGGGGCGGGCAGACCACCCTGGGCCGGGAAGCAGAGGGGCCAGGCTTTCCCCAGGTACCTGCTCGAAGGGGCTCTTGTTCTGCACACCCTTGGCCCCTACAAACACCCAGCTGTCCCGGAAGGCCAGATCCTTGACATTCTTGCTGCCCAGATCACTGAAAAGCTTCCTGGTCTCTTCATTCATCCTGCCGCACAGAAGGAAGAGATGTGAGCCATCACCGAAGAAGGGCCAGGCTGAGGCCGTCCTTGGCAATCACTTACTTGGTGGCTGGGTCATCGTAGGAAGCCACAAATACCAGAGTGCCTTCATGCAGTGGCCGAATAAACTTCAGCAGATCGTTGACATCTGGGGGCACAGGTACCATGGGACATGATGCATCAGGCACCACTGAGCAACCCTCCCCCACCAGCCCCTGCTCTCCAGATGAGGACACCAAAGTAGGGATTGGGCCAGGGACACATCCCAGCAAGGGTCTCCAGGTGAGCATAGGACAAAGTGGTATAAGAAGCCAGGGTCCCTCCTCCCACCTTTTCTGAACCCAAGAAGGCTGGAGACTCACCTCCCGCCCACATGTCGAAGGCCCGGGCCTCGATGAGCTCTCCACTCACCCCTGGGTTGAGATGGAGAGATGGGGTGCAGCTGGGTGAGCCGCCAGAGCGACTCTGATTCCACCCAACCACCCTGACACCCCCAGACCAGGCTCAGGACACAGCAGGGGTCACTGGGTGCAGCCCATCTGGAAGCTTTTCAAACGCCCCCCCCATTCGTGTCCACCATGTCCCTTGTTCAGACAGCTGTGACCCTCCAGGTCACATGCTTTTGTTCACTGGGTCACTTCTGCGGAGCCTTCAACTCGAACAGACCTCTTCCCAAGCCTCCTGGGAACCCTGGAGGAGGGCGGCAGGTCACGGCCCGGCTTTGCTTTCTTGTCCAAAGTCTGACCTCACATCACGGGGAGCTCACCGTTCACCAGGGCGATGTTCAGTCCACGGCCCACATTGTCCTTGACGCTGCTCATGAGCCTAGTGGGGGGACAGAAACTTCAAGTGGCATGTCTGCTCTGCCTTCCCTGGAACGGCCCTGGGGCCTTGCAGACCCAGCTTCTGGTAACCGCTCCCCTCCCACCCTGCCCCCCCCATCTACCCCAAGGAGCTCACATCTTGTCCTCCAGACAGATCTTGGGTCCAATGACGTTGGCAGCCCCGCTGACCATGCGGAAGGCTAGGTGCTCCTCGGGACACGGCTGAGGCAGGCCACATTTGTACCTCCTGGCCCGCGGCTCTGGGTGGGGACAGCAGGGGTGACCCATGGGTCTGGCCCTGGGGGAACCTGAGATCTGAGAGGGGGAGGTCACGACCAGCCCATAGGGAGGAACGAGAGAGCACAGAGCAGGCACTGGTCAGTGGAAGGGATGTGGCTCAGGCCAAGGCCCGGACACTTTCATGGACATGCTGCATCCCACTGGGGCTGGCCAAGGGCAAGGTGATAGGGACCCCAGGGAGGCTTTGCTGCCATTGGTGGGAGAAGAGTAAGGAGGCAGGAGGGCTGGCCAGGGCTATGGCCCTGCCAGAAGCAGAGTGCAGGCAACGAGGGCAGTGCAGGAGCCCTGGAGAGCACGGGATCCCCTCAGGCAGAGGTGGGAGGGCGGTGAGAATGGTCTCTGTGATGGGATGAATTGTGTCCCCAAAACAATGTGCTGAAATCCTAACTCCCAGTACCTCAGAAGTGACCCTATTTGGAAATAAGAGTCCTTGAAGATATAATTTGTTAAGATGAGCTCATCCTGGAATAGGGTAGGCCCTAAATCTAATGACCAGTGTCCTTATAAGAGACAGAAGG